AAATCAATCAGAGAACCCCCGAAGTCTTAAATATAAAAGAATTTCTTCAAAAATATTTGATTTTTAATTTATCATTCCATTTTTAGCTTTATCATAAAGTCTGTCAAACAACCTTCTTAACACATGCCAAATATACCTTCTTAACATACTTTTCCATGTATTTTTTAATAAATATAACCCACATTTATTATACCCTCCAGTTATGTGCCCTTACTAACGATATACTTTGTCTGGTGTGCCATATATTATGTATGTCTCTCATACATATTGGTCTTATACACATCCTTCCACAAGGAAAATTACGTTATACTTAAGTGACATTATTATCCTGTGAAAATCTGTAGACATGAACTGTAGACTTTGATATGGTTAAGCTGTACGCCTCGTGTACAATATTGTTTTAATACCTTGCGGGAAAAGGCGATATTCATATAGACTGTTGGATGAAGCAGCCATGAATGAATTAATAATTTTTTAAATATTTAATTGGAAAACTATCTGCATGCATTCGATGGATTATTTTATGTATGTGAAGTGATAAAAATTATGTTTATTTTTAAACTCAGTATGCTGAAGGAAAGTGGTGATACTTTAAAAATACTTAATTGTTTAAATGTAGATATGTTGCCTTTTAACGAAATAATTTAAAAATATCTTATTTTTTTAATTCAGTAACTTTTTCTAAATAAACTGCCGGAAAAATTGTCGATGCCAAAAAAAAAAACAATAATTCAATCATGGATACTTTTACAGCTACAAATTTGGTAGCTTATTTTGCTTTTCAACACGGTTTCTCATAGTAGATTTTTGACCCATTTTTTTTTGCAAAATGTTATGTATTTCAAATCTTTTATATTGGTGCAGGTCACGGTTTGAAAATGACATGAGGCCAATTTAAATTTTGATATTTTTGGGAATATTGTTTATATTTGAAATTTTATATAACATTGAATATGTCAATATATTAACATGAAATGACGTTCAATTAAACATATGGAACTGGAGATTATAACTAAGGTTAAAATTCAAAGTAATGTAAAGATAAACATCATCAATTTCGTATTTAGTGCCAGAATAGATGACTATCAATCAATCGACGGCTTAATATATTCCCAGTCCAGAATTTTACGATCCCTCTTTGACCATTCATAAATTATTGTGTGATAATATAATAATAAGAGTGCGCAAAAATTCGCTCGCGAATGATTCAAAGTAAATTATTTTCGTTTTGTGATCATTTTAAGAATGAATTTATGGCGATAAATTCTTTACCAAACGAGCATTCACCAAAAAATGTTCGCACACACATTACAAAAGAATAAGAGCATACAACAACGTTATCATTCTCGATAAATTGAAAACATTCGAATTCTCGCCCGTGAGCATTCGTGAGAAAGAGTGTATTTTAATCATTCTTGGCACCCTGATAATAATTGGTCGTTGAAATTTCCTTGTCAAATTTTTAAGAAAAAAAAAAAACAGTGAGCCGTCCAGTATAATCTGACGGGGCTGACTATATGATACCCTATACAACTACCACTAAACTCAAACTTTCTACGGATATATATTCCGAGCGTGGACAATATACTACGATATTTGCAACTTCATGACCGATCAGAGGTTAACAGCATTTTTTGGTATCATGTTTTCACATTTTATTACTTTACACACAAAAGTCCCGGTTAATTTAACCAATCATTACCAAAATAGCAATTCTAATTAGTTGGCCAAGTTTCCATCTTCGTGTAAAATTGTGATGTTCTGTTTATAATAGTGGTCTCCAGCGCGACTAGAAAACCTGACAAAAATAAAGTTTTCGGTCCTTTTTATACTCTAAAATTAATCTCAACCTCGCCGATTAAAACGTCGTTCTTGACCATAACTGGACTTTATTTTACCATTTCGATGCCATCAGACTAACGACAATGAAACAGGTTTAACCATTTACACAAAGCTGGATTCATCAAGAATCTCGATGTTTTCGTGACACACCATTTAACAGAAAAAAAGTAGGATGGATCGAATTTCCATCTACAAAGCCTTGGCCAAACGGAATGAGATAAATCCATTTCTTATACATATGATGGCTGGAGATGAGAAATGGATCACATACAACAACCCTGTGCGAAAACGGTCGTGGTCAAAGAGCGCTGAAGCACCTAAAACGGTGGCCAAACTAGAACTAACGGCCGGGAAGTTTCTGCTATGCATTTGGTGGGACTGAACCATATGCTCAACCGCTAAATTCTGATCTCTACTGTCAACAAATGGACCCTTTAAAGATATCAATTTACCAGAAACGGACAGATGTGGCTAACAGAAGAGTTGTCGTGTTCCACCAGGATAACGCTATCTACAGTGACTCGTCAGAAACTGCGGAAGCTTTGTTGGGAAGTTTTAATGCATCCGCCATACAGTACACTTGGCACCAAGCGATTATCATCTTATTCTCGAATTGAAAAATTTATTTAATATTAAAAAGTTGGTATCTAGGGAGGATTGTAAAAATCGACTACCAGAGTTTTTTGCAATTGGAGAGCGGGACTTTAAAAATGACAACAAATGATACAACAAAACGGTGCATATTTGACCCAAATCGAAAATTCCGAAGCATATTAAATAAAGTCGTATAGTTCATCGTTTTTGCAAAATAGTCAGGCTGAATCCCAACTATTTTTTAGTGTAGAATGTATGGCATTATCCGCCTTGGGGTAAGGCAGGGAAGACTATAGTTTCTGATCTCGATACTGATCCTCATTAGTTCCGTTAGTTTTTTGTTGGGATATTCTCCCCAGAAGCTATTTATTGCTTCTTTACAAAAAACCTTTTTATACTCAAATGCCTCTTGTGACAATTCGAAGTTCTTACGTTACCACCGATACAAACTCAATGAGAAGTTCGTTTCGTTGGTGCCCGACTTCGTGGTCAAGAAGGCATTTGCAGACAACTACATTTCCCACTGCTATGTGTCGTCAATTTGTACAACAAACTTACTGGTTTAAAATAAAATACTAGTTAATATTCGACCACATACATTCGATAATATTTTTTCTCCCTTTCCCGAAGAAATCATAAAAACACAGACACTAAAGACACATTTTGTATTCTTCCTGCCCCGCATATTGTATAGATAAGAGTCGGTTTTTGGTCCACACGTGGCCAGAACCGAAACTGTATTAAGAATTCTTTGTTCTTCGGTGAATAATAGACTGCGGGGTAGATAAATCTGCTCAGCTTGTCGATATATAACCATACACATATTGAGTGATGGGTCTATAAGCAATAGTTTGTGGTATTTCAAATTATTGGGACCACACACGATTTATAATACACATTTAAAGTATTTTTTATATTTTATACAAATTGAAGAATGTCTTGAGATTGACTTTTGCTACAAATTGTATGACAAACACAAAACATAATTTTTAACATTCATTGTTATATAACAGACACAATTTCACACATTAGATTCCCGAAATGTAATCTTATGAATGCTTCTCATTGCATTTCCAAATATTTGCATTTAAATTCAGTACCAGTTGCCACAGCAAACGTGCGGTTTTATGCATTCGTATATTATTATACACACAATTTCACATTTGTCACAGTATGAATATAAATAAGACGATTAGGGTGAATTTTTCCCCAGTTGACTTAGAGCTAGAGGAATAGAAACAAGCCAAATAATAATTTATTATACTAACTGACATAAATTAGTATTATAATGCAACTAGCAGTCATTACATTTACAAATTTAAAACAATACGAGCATGCTTTGCATTGCATACATTCAAACGAAATATTTTAGCTATTTTTCACATAGTCGTCGGTTAGATATATATCCCACCTAATATTTTACTCTGTCAGATAGTCAGCCAGCCAGCTAGTCAGGCAGGGTGTATTATTTGCAATGCAATATATTCACGTTTTAAGCTTTTCAACAAAGCGATACAAAAGTGACTGAACACAAATACAAACGACAACACTGCGCTCTGGATGCAATCACAACCACATATCTTGGAGTGCACATTTATTTTTGTCAAGTGGCAGCCAGCGGTTTTGTATCCTCCTCCTCCTCCTCCTCCTTCGCCATACATCGTGAGTTGCCTTGATAAGACTTATTTTTCCATTCATTTCAAAAATTCTTTACCATTGTTTTCTATTTACTCTCAGCAACCGGGGAGTGTTTATCTGTGTATTAGTATGCCAATGACAATGGTGATGGAGGGGGTTGCTGATGATGATGGCAGCAGGATATGGTGTATTTGTGTATCTCTGCATATGCAAGTGATGAGAGTGCTTGTGGAGGTGGCGTTGCTGACTGCTATTATTCCAAACGATTGCAATGATGCAATTGATGCCACCACCACCATTAAGTCTGTTGCTGTCGTTATCCTAGATTTCAGCAACAGTCCTCAATTGTTGGTTGTTTGACTGGTTGCTGTTTATTTGTCTGCTGTTGATAGCTTAGCTCGTTGCGTTGCGTTTCGTTTTTTTTCTATTTCAAAATTTGTTTTTTATGGCATTTTGTTTATCTCTTCATTGTTAAATGATATTTTTTTCTCCATTATTTGTTTATTTATTTTTCTTGTTTTTGAGTTATGGGTTTTTATGTGGCAATTCCAAAAAAAAAAAAAAAAAATATTAATCATATCTGCAGGGGTTTTGTTGAATTTTTCTGGTTATATTTTTGCCATAAATCATTGAATGTGTTATTTTCTATTGCATATCTAAAATGGAGGTTATTGCGAAGTTTGCAAAATAAACAAATTTAAGGAGAATTACAAAAACTGGAGACGAAGATAAAAATATAAACAATAGATATTGGTACAAGAAAATGCAACAAAATGTTATAGAAAAAAATGTATTATATACAAAGTTAAAGATGCAATTTTATACCGTGTAGAATTGATTGATTGATTTATGACAGTTATAAAATAAATTATTCAATTTATGTGAACTGTTATTAACTTCATAGTTTCTTCTTTGTTTCATTACAGTCACAGAAAAAGAAATCAGACAATGGTAAGTGAATGAAATACATCAATATTATCGATAGTTTGCAACTATATAATACATTTTTATTACCTATTCAATACATTTAAATACAAATTACTTTCCCATGTAGGCATAAAGGCTTCCTGAAAGACTGTCCAAATGGTTTACTTACAGAACAAGTAAGTGAATAGTTTGTATAAATCATGTCATAGAGCACAGCGTGATATAATAATAAATTTTCAGTTAATTAAAGGAATCTGAAATTGAAAATGAATACGTCAGTTTTTTAGACGGTGAAATGTCGTATAAATTATATAGAATTTTTACTAATTACCAAATCACCATTATGGCCATATTAAACAGATGCATCCTAACAGACGCCACATTTTTAAAGGACCATTATGTGAATGTAAATGTGAACCGATTAAAATAACCAGTAAGGAATGTTCAAAAGTCGGCCGACTATATGATACTATTTATCACTTTGGGTACATACACAAGATGCTCGTATGTACAATATCCTTTAAATAGAATAGACAAAGCATCTTTGGAGGACCATTGAAATGGAATCGGACGAAATTAACTGAGTACATAGATATTTGAGCTAAATTAAAACAACCCATACACATACCAATCCCCGAACAAAATATGTGCAGGATCTATATATAAATGGACGTATTTGAGTAACCGTGGCATCCACCATTTGGTATGCTGCAACACAGTGCGTTATCCAAAACTTATCTCGAGACAAAATCCAATACCCGTTGTTCTAGGTTCGTTTTTGTATGTTGTGCACTAATTCGTCCTAAGCAGACAAACTTTAGTTACTTGATACATCATTTTGATGAAATCGGATGGAAATATATATAGAAGCTATATCTAAACCGTCTTCAATCCAATACGCCATGCAATATTTCATGTAAAGCGAACAGACATATGCTCCTCCATTTGCACCATTTGCATAAAATCCGACGAAGATATATATGAGGGAGCTATATCTACATCTGAACCGATTTTAACAGCAAAATATTGTGCAACTGGAACAGGTTCTATGGTGCACCATTTACCTCAAATGGGACTAATGTATATATGTGAGCTATATTTAAATCTGAACCGATTTCCAAATTAATAGAAATCATTCTAGACTAAATTCCATACCCGCAGCTAAATTTCGTGAATATAGAACAAACAGAGACTCCTCGGCGCGCCATTTACATAAAATCGGAACATATCTAAATCTGAACCGCTTTCACAACATTTCGCGGACGTCAACTTGCAGTAATTTCAGGGCGCTGAGCAAAATGTTGTCTCAATCGGACAAACATTCACGGTATTGTGCACCATTTACATAAAATCGGACGAATCTATATATGGGAGCTATAACTAAATCTGAACCGATTTCAAAAAAAGTTCGCTTTTATCAATCTGGGCCTAATTCAGTTCGCTGTGCAAAATTCTGTCTCAATCGGACCAACATTGGTGCACCATCGGACCAAAATTGGTGCACCATGTACATAAAATCGGACGAAACTATATATTAAAGAGCTATATAAAAATCTGAACCGATTTCAACAAAACTTCGTATAAATAAATTCGGACCAAATTCAGTACGCCTAGAGTTGACTTTTTGGTGCTCCATTTACATCAAAACGGACGAAACTATACATGGGAGCTATATCTAAATCTGAACCGATTCCAACAAATCTTCGCATACATCAATCTGGACGTAATTCAGTATTCTGTGTAAAATGTTGTCTCAATCGAAACAATATTGGCAGTATGGTTCTCCATTTACATAAAATCGGACGAAACTATATATGTGAGCTATATCTAAATCTGAACCGATTTCAACAAAACTTAGAAAATATCAATCTAGGCCTAATTCAGAACTTTTTGCAATATTTTGTCTCAATCGGACCAATAGTGGGAGTTTGGTGCACCATTTACATAAAATCGGACGAAACTATATGTGGGAACTATATCTAAATCTGATTCGTTTTCAACAAAACTTCGCATACATCAATCTGGACCTAAATTAGTACTCTGTTCAAATTTTTGTCCCAATTGGACCAATATTGGGAGTTTGGTGCACCATTTATATAAAATCGGACGAACCTATATATTGCAGGTACATATATCTGAATATCCTGTTTGTTCACAAAAATACATCGACGGACGGACGGACAGACGAACATGCATAAATCGAATCAGAAAGTGATTCTATGCATATTCTTAAAAGGAACCATCGGTCTATCTCGATTCCCTTTGCCTGTTACTAACATATGCACTAAGGCATAATACACTGTACCACAGTGTGGTGAAGGGTATAAAAATGAAGTAAAAACGATCGTTTATACCATTTACAATTTACCATTAGGGAGCGCTTTTAGGAAAAAAACTCATGTTATGATAGAGACGTGAAAAACCCAAAACAGATGCGTGGAAAGATTTTTAAAATTTTGAAAATATATATATCATCAAAGCTACCAATGTTATAGGTTTGGATTTAAAAAAAAAAATAAATTTTCAAGTACTACTCAGGTTCATGGGCCATTGACTACTAGGATTATAGACGTGGTCTTTAAAGAAGATTTTTCTAGGATTTTCAGGGTTATAGACGTCGATTTTTAATGAAAACTTCTTCAAGATAATTCAGGGATATTTTTAAATAATGTATTTTCGAGGACTATAAGTGTTAAAAGGGAATTAAGTTTAAATGAGATGCCTTAAAAATTATATTTATTTTTATAAAAAGATGCAAACAGTTATTTATAAAATTTTTATTATAAGATATCTCAAAGTTTTTTACTTATTTTATTATCTATTCGGCAAAAGAAATTGGAAATTGGAATAAACTATTTCGTATTAGCTGTTTCAATAGTTTTCAAATAAAAAAAAAATATTCCTTTTCAACTATCACGCTGTGCAAATAAGTTTTACCTAAAAACTATCAACATTAAATTGAACAATGAACTTATTTTATTATATGAAACAATATTAATAACAAAAACGTTTCTTATCTTCCTATTTTACTTTTCTTTTACTTCTATTTCTTTTTTTTGTGTGTCTTTCTTACAAAATAATATTGAAATAAAATTTAAATATGAAATGAATTTTTACAACGAAATTTCCATAATGTATTGTGTTGTGGAATATAAATTCCATTCTCAACTGCTGATCACTGGAATTAACATCAACAACTACAATAATAATAATTACGAAACTTCATATACGCAATGCTGGCGTCCAAAAAATATAAACAAAACTTTTTTTCTTCAATTTTTAAAAATATATATTTTGCTGTTTCCGTTTCCTGTCATGATATATTCATAAATGTGTGTTTGCCATTACTTATGTACATATGTATGTGTTTGTTGATTTGTTTATTTACATTATGTTCAACACAATAACAATAAAATCCTGTATCAAAAAAAAAAAAACTCTCTCACACACACACTTTTCAACACAACAACAATAATAACAATATTTGCGACATGTTTGATTAAATGAAATGTTACCACTCGCTATGGTTATAAAAATAAATGTGTTTGTGCGTACATGTGTCCGTCTGCTTGCCTTGTTTGTATGTGGTAAATGGCATATGTGTTTACTTCAACTGCCATTGCGGTTGCTGTTCATTTCTGTGGCAATTCGCTGCTGCTTCTATCCTGACGACGACGATGATGATGATGGTGCCACTCGGATGATGATTATGGTTGGCACTGCTGATGTTTTGAAACGTTCCGTAATGTAACTCATGACGCCATTGCCTGTCATTTTGGGGCGCCACTAAATGCTATGCGTGTATTTGCTATGCGTTATTTAACACTAAACCGAAAAAAACATACAACAACAATAACAACTCTAATAATATTGCACATACACACATAATACATTATCGCAAACACACATACACATATATTCAAACAAATGTGTAAACTGGTTTGTCCTTCTTTCTTTTTGTTTGGATTATTGTTTGATTTAAATTTTGCGTGTGTTCATTTATTCTGTTTTGAAATGTTTTCCTCGCTCTTTGTTGTTTTACCCTCTTTACGTTTTTTTACCATAAATCATACAATTTCCCATTATATCGCTGACGCCTTTAAGGGTTTTATCAAAATCTACAAACAATTCTTCCCCCAAGGAGATCCCAGTAAATTTGCCTCTCTAGTGTTTCGAGTATTCGATGAAAATAATGTAAGTATTGAAATTAATTACTTTAATATAAATTTGATTTTTATTTTTTATATATGCTTTTTAATTTCGATTTATATTAATTTTGTCATCCATTTTTTAAATTTTTTAAAAAATCTTTCAGAGTTCAAATTATAATTTTTCATTATTTTCTGCAGGACTATGTTTGTATGTTTTCATGGATTTTAATGGCTTATATACTTAAAGGATTATAAGTGGGATAAAAAGATTTTTAAAGGATCAACGGGTCTATAGGCTTGTATATTTAAAAAGGAATTTTTGAAGAATCTACTATATAAGTTGATGTTTTTATGGGCTGGCGTATATAAACAGTTTTTAAGACTGTCGTGCTATAATCTTGGTTTTTGGGACAATGCGTTCAAGGACAATCAAAGTAATAGACGTAGATTTTTAAAATAGACTTTTTAAAAACTGTCGGATCTGTAGGCGTAGATTTTTAAAATAGATTTTTTCATCAACTATCAATGTTATATGCGTGGATTTTTTAAAAAAAATATACGCCTACAGCCAGAGCTATAGGCGTAGATTTTTAAAAATATTTTTTTTTTCAAGAACTATCAGAGGTATACAGGCGTGGGTTTATAATGCAGATGTTTTCAAGGAATATCAATGTATCAGTGTAATAAAATTTTTCAAGGACTATCAGTGTTATATAGTCTTGGATTTTTAAAGAAGATTTTTGCAAGGCCTATCAAGGTTTTAGGCGTGGATTTTAAAAGAAGACTTTTTCAAGGAATATCAGTTTATCAGTGTAATAAAATTTTTCAAGGACAATCAGTGTTATATAGGCTTGGATTTGTAAAGAAGATTTTTGGAAGGCCTAACAAGGTTTTAGGCGTGGATTTTAAAAGAAGACTTTTTCAAGGACTATCAAGGTTTTAGGCGTTGATTTTAAAAGAAGATTTTTTCAAGGACTATCAAGGATTCAGGCGTGGATTTTAAAAGATGATTTTTAAAGGACTATCCAGGTTTTAGGCGTGAATTTTAAAAGATGTTTTTTAAGGACTATCCAGGTTTTAGGCGTGGATTATAAAAGAAAAACTTTCCAAGGTCTATCCAGGTTTTAGGCGTGAATTTTAAAATAAAAATTTTTCAAAGACTATCAAGGTTTTAGACTTCGATTTTAAAAGACGATTTTTCCAAGGACTATCCAAGTTTTAGGCGTGGATTTTAAAAGAAGATTTTTTAGGACTATCCAGTTTTTAGGCGTGGATTTTAAAAGAAGATTTTTCTTATAGCCAACCAAGGCCTAAATTTTTAAAGAGGATTTTTTTCTATAGCCAACCAAGGCGTGGATTTTAAAAGAAGATTTTTCCAAGAACTATCCAGGTTTTAGGTGTGGATTTTAATAGAAGATTTTTCCAAGAACTGTCCAGGTTTTAGGCGTGAATTTTAAAATAATTTTTTTTTCAAGGACTATCCAGGTTTTAGGCGTGAATTTTAAAATAATTTTTTTTCAAGGACTATCCATGTTTTAGGCTTAGATTTTAAAAGAAGATTTTTCCAAGGACTATCCAGGTTTTAGGCGTTGATTTTAAAAGAAGATTTTTTCAAGGACTATCAATGTTGCAGGCGTTGATTTTAAATATAGCATTTTTTTCAAGAACTATCAAGTATTTAGGCGTGAATTTTAAAATAATTTTTTTTCAAGGACTATCCAGGTTTTAGGCTTAGGCTTTAAAAGATGATTTTTCCAAGGACTATCCAGGTTTTAGGCGTTGATTTAAAAAAAAAAAAAGATTTTTTTGTCAAGGACTATCAATGTTTCAGGCGTTGACTTTAAAAGAGAAATTTTTCAAGGACTATCAAGGTTTTAGGCGTTGACTTTAAAAGATGATTTTTCAAGGAATATCAATGCTTTAGTCAAGGTTTAGGAATTTGTAAAGTATACTTTATTACTATTGGAGTTATGGGCATGGTTATTAAATAACCTTAGCTTAAGGATTTTCCATGGAATATGTAGTAAGTTTTTGTAAGTTATTTTTTTAAGTCATAAGCGAGGATTTTTCTAGAACAAGTTTAATGGATTTTTTAAATTATGAGCGTAGGCTTTTACGAAGTTATTTGTTTAAATATTAGATTGAAATATTTTTGAGTTTTAAGCCTGATTTTTAAGAAGATTGGACTATTTTTGAAGTTAGAGTTCTTAATAGAAGACAATCGTGAAATGTTGAATATATAATTCTGTGATTTTTTAAGAAGATTTGATTAAGGACTAGCTTAGAGGACACGCGTGGAACATCCAAGCTATAATATTTTTGGTAATGGTTTTAGAAAAAATGTAATTTTGTTCTGATATATTAACAGATTACGATTATGTTTAACGGATAAGCATAATTCTTATTTTTTGCAGGACTATTAGAGTATTAGACATGCATTTTCCTACCATCAGCTTTATTTCTAATGGGGTTATATACGATTTGATACGATGACAAGTTTATCGATTTTATACCGAATTAATTTCTGACTATGAGAAGTATAGTTAAGTATGTCCGTTCGCCTGTCTGTCTATGTAGCGTGCACTTTAACTCTCGAAGGGAATGACCCATCTAAACTTCGTAATATTTCTTAAAAACTTAAATCATGAGAAAAGATCAGGAACATCGATCCACCTCTTTTGGTATCTCCCTAACAGAGTGATTTAAATCCAAGAAATGAATTTACAATACCTTTCGAAAGAAGTATTCTACTTGAACCAATGGTTTCGGAACCAAATATGTGTATGCCAAATCTTAATCATGCCTAAAAATGAGGGCTATGTATTAGAAGGTGTAAAGCGAAAGCCCTAATTTGATCCAAACTTAGCACATCGTAAAATTTTCACCACCTAGATCACACCCGAAGGTGAGAAACATCTTTCCTCACATCCTGACACCCCCCAACAAATTGTGAACATTATATATATATATATATATATATATCGTAATATGTTTAGGAAGTTAATATGATGGTATATATCTACATGCCTTCTCACACTTGTTTACTTGTATAAAAATGATTTTTTGGAATAATTAAGAGAAAAAATAGAGACTTAGGGATCGATTTTTATACCTTACACAACTATGTTGTCACGGTATTATAGTTTTGTGCAGCCCCAAGAGTTTGTGGGTCCTAGACCCTTTTTTAAGTATACCGATCGTCATACCTCGACTAGCTGAGTCGATCTAGACATGTGTGTCTGTCCGTCCGTCTGTCCAATATAATTTGTAAACACGATACATGCCACAGTTATGGACCAATCTTCTCAAAATTTTGCATGTAGGATGGGTTCGTGCCAATGAAGACCCCTATTGTAAAGATCGGTTACGATTTCGGTAATGAAAGGGGCAAAAACTTTATTTTTATCTGATTTTCTGATCGCTCCAGTGGCCGCAGTTATGACCGAAACATCGAATGTTTACATGGAGAAGGGAGTCGGGCCAAAGCATAAGCATGCCTGTTTTGATAAAGATCGGTCAATATTTAGGGGGTCAAATGGATCCTGACTTTGTGTGAAAATTAAAAAAAAGTATTCTAAGCGTATAGATTTACTTCTGAAGGATATAGAAGGATTTTGTACTCGGATATGGGAGTTACACTCAAATATTTACAGGTGATTACGTATTCATATATTGTTTAGTGACACATTACCACACTAGAGGGCGAAAATATAGCGCTCATCGCTTTGAAATTTGGACAAGTAATTAGAGCGAAATATTGCCCAAGCTCAGAATTTAGAGCCACAAAGAGTTATATTTTCATGGAAGTTGTGTAGGGTATCATATGGTCGGCCCCATCCGACTATACTGCTCCGCTCACTGGTTTTAATTTTATCGTTGAATTAAATTTGCAAAACTTTGATTCTATTTTGATTCATTGAACAAGAAAATTTTTAAGGAAGTTTATTTCGCCTAAGGTTATATTTTCCTTTTTGCCTTCTGCTTTCTACCGTAATCTGTGTAATATATTTTCCTAGGTTTGTTTTTTCGGGAGGTTTGTTTCCTGTTATTTAGTTTTCCCTGTGGCGCTTCCTTGATTTATGATTTAATTTCACTTGCAATTCACCAACTAATTACACTGTTTTAGCTTTGTTGCCTGGCGAGCAATTATATATGTATGTAGACAGCAGTAGTGGAAATGGAGGGGAAAGTGTAATGAATTGCAGTTTTTTTAGCAAGTTTACATTAGGGAAGAGTATAAAAAGAATAGAAAAAGAAAATATTTCATAAAGAGGGAAAACTATAAATAAAATACAATAAAAAATATAGATATTGAATATGGGGAAAAAATGAGTGGGTTTTAGTCGTCATCATAGGGAGCTGATGTAGTAGTTTTGTATTAGGGAACTGATATAGTATTGGCTTATTAGAGAAAGAAAATAAAATGTTCAAAACTAAATATTTAAATTTTTAATAAAGAAGAGGATCGAAAACTATATTTTGCGAGAAACAGCATTGTAAGTACCAGTGCTGTTTCCTTCAAGGACTGATGTTGAGGTGAAGAGAGTTAATAACTGTAGGGTAATGATATATTGAACTAATTATTACAAGACCTATTAACATTTTAAAGGTTGTTATTAAGTTCCTTGGAGGTATTCGCGAATAGATGTTTGCTTCTTACGCTTAGAAATTGACTGTAGAACCTCTTTCTTGCAGTTTTTCACTCTTTAGTGTACTGCTTAAAAATTAGTTACTGCTAAAAATTCATATTCATTTTCTATACTTCGTTATTTTTCGTTTCGTCTCCCATCTTCTCCGTTTTTTATTTATTTTTTTAATTGCGTTGTTTTTTTCTTTGTTATAGTTGTTGCTTTTGTATTTTGTTCTTATTGCATTAACTTGGTTATCTGATAAATGCACGTTTGTCAGTAACTCTGTTCACATCATTTATTAGTTTATGGATCAATTACCAATATACCATTTATTCACTTCGTCTTTCTCAACTTGCTCTTTTCCCCTCTTCATGCTTTGCAAAAACATCCGTGTTGCTGTTTGGTTGCCACATTGTCTTGCACCGATTGCGTGTATCTATATGTGTGTTCGTCTTCTATTCATCTGCTGTATCCTGCTGATATCGATGTGGTTAACTGTGTTACATTGGCGTTGCTCCTGCTATTTGGTTGTTCAACCTATACCAGGATGGTTCAATAGAATTTGAAGAATTTATACGAGCCCTGTCGGTAACATCGAAAGGCAATTTGGATGAAAAATTACAATGTAAGTGTGCGAAAAATGTGTAAAAGAAGAAGAAAATGAGAATAACACCACTTATACAATAATATCAGCAACATTGTGAAGAGAAAAAAACAAGCAATTCACAATGTAAATGTAGCATATAAATTATATACCGACACATAAGTACTTGCACATAGTGTAAATGTACATCAAGATCAAGGAGATATGAATATTTTTGTTTTCGGGTGGAAATTTTCCATTAATGAAAATTACATGGCGGAACAAAAGATAATTGTCTTAATTTTTGTGGTTCTTTGTTGAAATTACACCACGTTATAATAAGCAACGTTTCGTTATAAAAGTGTAATGTAATATTGTTGTTGTTGTGTACTATGCTACCGCTAGACCATGAAATGAAAAAATACAAGTATATTATTTTATGACTTTATTTGGCTCGAAATTATATTAATTTTGCAACACATAGTTAGACTAATGAAAATATTTGGGAATTAGTCACCATAGGCACGATCATATTTGCAAGTTTTAAATTTCATGATTAGTCAGAGTCTTTATATGAAGGCAAATCCAATAGTTTCCTTTAACATGCCAACATGCCAGTTACGTTATTTTTGGCAAGCATTTGACAAAAACATCTTCTTGGCAAGAACCAACCATGTTGAGAAACAACTACTACACTAAGGGTTTAGGTAGGCAGTTTATGGGTCTGGGGCAGCTTCGGCATTGGGGCAGCTTCTGCAATTGCCGCAAAAATTGAAATGGTAGTTAATAAGCTTATTTAAATTTAGGGTTTTTTATGTCTATGGGTGCCAAACGTGCCCCATCAAATGCCAAAGCTTCCCCGACTAGGGGCACCTTAGTCGAATTTGACTTTTTTTAACAAAGCTTAAAAAAAAATAAAAAATATTTTTAACTTTCTGTAATATCTATAAAAAGTTCTCATATACATTTACCACCCACGTATATATATTTTGAAAGCCCCATCCGAAGTTTCCAATATAAGGACACCACTCTAAGATCTTTCAATATGAACAGATACAGATGTGAATACTCACTTCGTTATGCTAAAATATAGTAAACACTTCGTTAAGCTAAAATATGGTAACATCGTTTGAAAACTTCGCCTAGGTCCATTAAAATTATGACAAAGAGATTGGATTTTTATTGGTTTTATACCCAAATTCGACCGATACGCTAAGCCATACTGTAATTTGATACTGTAAAAATTGGCCTCATCGTGATCTTAGATCTCATAATTCTTTGGACCAAAATCTGTTTCAGACAATTTGGAGTCGATTTACAAATGTCCATCGGTCTGTCTGGCCGGCTGGTTCGCACGATAACTCTCGAAGGAAGTAACCAATTCCATGCAATCTTTCCACATCTTAAGATTTCTTCTTCGGTCCACTCCTTCTGGCAAGTTCGAAAATGAGGAATATCGGTCCACTCCTTCTGGTAACTCCATCAAAAAGTTGTCTAAATTGAGCAAACAATTTTTTTATAATATAATGCGATAAAGTCAGAAAATTGGATCCATTGGTTCACTCCTTCTGGTACCTCCCCCACAAAATGCTCAAAATGTTCATGAATTTTATAATATAATGCGAACGGACTATCTCTTTTGAAACAAAGTTTGCACAACCTATTATATTTACCAAGCCTAGATTAGGTCCGAAGATGGGGACCATAATTTGAAGCGAATTAAATAACCGATTTAAGCAATATTAAATCCCAAATCTCTTTGATACACATATACCTTATATAAAGCGAATAATTTAACCTGTGTGTAATTCCAAAGTCCGCCGCAAACCATAGACTTGGTGTATATATCTGTTGGCAACACCGACTGACACTTTTTTACTAGGCGATATACAGATTTTCCACCCAAGGAGAACTAAAATTCCGTCAATACGGTTGAAAAATATGCCCATGCCCTAAGTCCTAAAGATGCCGATATTTTAGAGGTGACTATATAGGGCTACGTCAAAAAATGGATCAGTATTGATAAATTTTAGTAAGAAAATTTTATATCCAATGATAAACCAAATACCAAATTACAGTCAGTGGATATGCTGAAACCCGAAATCTACTATAAATCCTCTATAAACCAACATATATCGGACCTTACGGACATTCTGGGAATAATTCAAAGCGGAAGTAATAAGTATATAAACACAGCATTTCGTTGGTAAATAGGCCGAATATATAGGGAAGCTATATCGAAATCTGAACCGATTTCAACGGAACTGTCCACAGGTTATGTTATATTATGGATCTTTGCTCCATTTACTTACTCATTTTTTTTTTAATCGGACGAGATTATATATCGGAGCTATATTCAAATCTGAACCGATTTCATTAAAACGTTACACATGTTACACTACTCTAGATTCAGTACTTTGTGGAAAATTGTGTGTTAATCGGTCTAACTTTGGGTCTTTGGTACAATATGTACAGAAATTTGCACGAAAGTATAGCTATTTCTAAATCTGAACCGATTTCAAGAAAACTTTCCACATTTTAGGTTATACTAACTTCATTACGCTGTGTAAAATTTTGCGACAATCGGCCTAACGTTGTGCCTTTGGTGCACCATTTACTTAAAATCGGACGAAACTATACACTGCGTATCATAACTATAGACGCACCCTTTTAAAAAATTAATTTTTCTAATTTTGTAAAGGTGGGTCTATAGTTATGCAACACCAGCAATTTTGAAAGTGCAGAATTCGGCGAAACCATAAAGAATAAATTAATTATTTTTGTTGAATAATATGTGTTTTTGATCGTTTTATTGTGGACAATAACTTAATGGGTCAATTTTACTTGTCAACTAACATACCAATTGAATTAAGGGTGCGTCTATAGTTATGATACGCAGTGTATAAGGTAGCTATATGTAAACCTGAATTAATTGCAATAAATTTTGACGCACGTTATGTTATGGTAATCTCAATAGGTTGTGCAAAATTGTGTGTCAATTGTCTTAACTTTGGTTATTTGGGGCACCATTTGCTTAAAATCAGACGAAACTATGGAAGATATATGTAAATCTCAACCAATTTTTACCAACTTCAATAGGGTTCGTCCTAGGCCAAATAAATGAGCTATGTCAAATTTCATCCAATTCGTATCATAAATGCGACTTGTTTACTTTGTTTACAATTTAATATGAACAGACGGACAGAAATCCATAAGTCGACTCAGAAAGTTTGCTGTCTCGTTTCATTTTGTCTAGTACAAACATATGCACAAAGACATAATACCCTGTACCACACTGAGGGAGGTATAAAAATGTTGCTGCAGCTCTCCACCTCAGATATAATTCAATTATACCAGCGTATTCTCCAGTCCTCTCAACAATTCTTAGCCAATTTTCTAATATCAATCTCCACCTACATATTTAGAAATATGTAGTTTCCTAATTATAATAAATTTCCTACCAATTTCCTTAAAATTACTTTTAACACTGTACATATCAAACCAATCTGGGGTTTAGTTAAACTAACACATTTGTGTTTTGTTTTTGGCAACTTTTCCCTACTTCTTCCAACCTTCCCCCAAATTGTGTATCGAACTTTCGATTACAAAGTTTACTTTTTCTTGGTTTCCCTTCTCGATCTCATTCCCCTACCACAATTAGGTGTTTTTGTTATGGTTATGCCTCTATTTATTCTAGATTTATTGTAATTGTATTGTAATATGTTTGGTTTGGTTCGGTTCGGTTCGGTTTGGTGCAGTCGTAAAGGTCAAATGATTTATTAAATGATTAATGTCCTACCATTTCTGGTAAATAGCTTTCAATGGCAATTTGACAAGTGGCAATGGGAACGGGAAACGGGTGTGTGTTTGTAGATTTTTGGCAATGTTGAAGGCGTTATTATTTTTCTGAACAATCGGAGAAATTAGAGAAATCAAACAAACAAACAAATGTGCAATTGACTAATGGTTAGGTCTACTCTTTCGAATTTCGTTGCCGTTACCGTCGTTGTTATTGTTGTTATAGTTAAAGATTTATGACTTTGGTACGTTATTATCAATCGTAGTGTAAAAAGTTGGCTGGAGGTTTTAAGAGGAGAAAAACAAAAACCCAATAATTTGTGCCAAAAGTAATTAATTGCTGTGACTGGTTTTATCTACGCATTTTATTTATAAGAAATAGATGGTGGAAAATATGAGTTCCAACATAAAGTTGGGGTTCTTTCCTTAATTAGTTTTACGTCACATTTCTGAATTCACAATTCTTTAGTTTTTTAGTTAAGGGAAATATAACTTTTTTCATTTGTTATTGTAACATGAATGTGGCTCAGGTTCTATAAAATAAACCCTACGAATCACTTGGTTCATTACAAAAATATTATAAGGGACCACTATGATCTAGAGATTCAATTTTTTTTTTGCCATAATTGAAGCAGTGGTTTTCTTAAGCAGTGTTTTTATGAAAAAAAACTTAAAAATTCAAATGAATTTGAATTAAATAAAATAAATCCAAAATAGCGGATCAAACATAATAACAAATTAACTATTTCATAGCAGTTTTAATATCCAAATAGCATGAAATCGTTGGTTTATGTATTATGGGTATAAAACGATGACATACTTTAATTAAATTTGAAATATAGATATAGGGAGTACTGTAATATAGGGGCTACCTTTAATAGTGGAATAAAATTGATAATTTTTGTAGGAAGATTTACCCAATAATAACCCAAAATATCAAAGTACAGTGAATTTGGTTTAAAGGTAGGCTAATATCTTTCAATTTTATCACCAGCATGCTATGTAACCAAAAGTCAATTTTATTTTTTTTTTATTAAAATGTCATGCCCTTTGACATTTCTTTCCTTTTTTTCATGTTATCGGCAATAACTCTTATGTTTATTAAGGGTCGCAGACGGTAGTAAAATTTTAGACAGGGAACATATCAGTGTGTCGATTGGTGCTATAATCATTAAAATACCCTCTGGCACTACTTGGCACTAAGTTCTGGAACTCGTTTTTTCTGGAAAAAAAACATACGTATGTGTTTTAAATACGAAATTTTAGATTATTTCAGAAATTTTTCGAAGATGGGGAATAACTATCCACTCCTTCTGCAACCTCCCACACAAGGGCTTGGCCTAAATTCGGGCTATAGTTCATATATAGTTAATTATCGAACCTCACGTTATAGTTATTTATCTCGATATGAAATGATTACAACAGAATCTTAGAACCAAACCCAAAACGCGGAACATATCAAATAAATATTTTAATAGCAGTAAGGAAAGTAGTAAGTTCGGACGGGGCCAACTATATGATACCCTTTACCACTTTGGGTATATTCAACAGATGAATTCTAACAGACGTCGCATTTTTAAAGGACCAGTATAATTAATTTGGATCCAAAAAAAGTCATTCTGCAACCGATACTAAATTTTTCATTTGGTCAGATAGAGAAGCTATATCTAAATCTAAACCGATTTCAGGAAACTTAACACACATCATTCTATACCTGAATCATTACGCTTTGCCAAATTTCGTTCAAACCGAAGGATATTTAGGGCCTGGTACACCATTTACCTTAAATCGGACGAAAATATATATATAGGAGCTATATCTAAATCTGACCGATTTTCGGGAAACTTAACACACATCATTCTAGACCTAATTTATTACGCTGTGCCAAATTTCGTGCAAATCGAAAGGTATATAATGAGACTTTGGTGGACCATTTACATTAAATCGGACGAAAATATATATGGGAGCTATATCTAAATCTGATTTTCGGGAAACTTAACACACATCATTTTAGACCTAATTTTTTACCTTGTGCCAAATTTCGTGCAAATAGGAAGGTATATATAGGGACTTTGGTGTACCATTTACGCTAAATCAGACGAAAATATATATGGGAGCTAGATCTAAATCTGAACCGATATTCAGGAAACTTAACACACATCATTCTAGACCTAATTCATTACGCTGTGTCAAATTTTGTGCAAATCGAAATATATAATGGGACTTTGGTGGACCATTTACATTAAATCGGACGAAAATATATATGGGAGCTATATCTAAGTCTGAACCGATATTCAGGAAACTTAACACACATCATTCTAGACCTAATTAATTACGCTGTGCCAAATTTCGTGCAAATCGAAAGATATATAAATTTCTGTGCCAATTTTCTCGAAACTTGGTAGACATAACTCTAGGCTTATTTTAGTAAGTTATGCCAAATTTGGTGCAAATCGAAAGACATATAGGGACTTTGGTGCACCATTTACATGAAATCTGATATGGGAGCTATATCTAAATCTAAACAGATTTTCACGAAACTTGGCAGACATCATTCTAGGCTCAATTCGGTACGTTATACTAAATTTCGTGCAAATCGACAGATATATACGGTCTTTGGTGGACCATTTACCTTAAATTGGACGAAAATATATATGGGAGCTATATCTAAATCTGAACCAATTTTTCCCAATTTCAATAGGGTTTGTCCCTGGGTCAAACAAGTGCGCTGTGCCAAATTTCATACAAATCGGATTATAAATGCGACCTGTATTTTGTTTACAACTTAACACCCACAGACGGACGGACGGACATGCATATATCGACTCAGAAAGTGATTCTATGCATATTCTCAAAAGGAACTACTGGTCTATCTCGTTTCCTTTTGCCTGTTACAAACATATGCACAAAGACATACTACCCTGTACCACAGTGTGGTGAAGGGTATAATAAATAAAAAAGGGGGTTATATGGGGATTACCCAAAAAAAAGGGCGAATATAATTTTAGTAGGGATATTTGTTATCATATAGGACTACAAAATACCAAATTGCAGCAAATTGTGTAAAAAACGCGCTCAAGAACCCCAAAATGCCGAAAATTTTGGGTAATTATTGGGATTACATATTCATAATTTTTTGTGGAGAGATTTGGTACCTATTAAGAAATCAAAGTACTAAATTACTGCCATTTCGGTTGAAATATACGATAAAAACCCCTAAAATACCGAAAATTAGGGGGAACCTTTATATGGGGGGTACCAGAAAAAGTGGACCTATATTTATAATTTTTTGTGGAGACATTTAGTACCCAATAAGAATACCAAATTTCAGCGAAATCGGTTTAAAAATGCGCTCAAGAACCCGAAAATACCGAAAATTGGGGGGAACTCTTCTATGGGAGCTATGCCTAAACATAGACCTATATATCCCGTCTTCGAGCTTCACCTGTCTGCAAACAAAATACAATCCTATGTAAAATCTCAGCACGTGATTACAACAGACGGACGGGCGGACATGGCTAGATCGTCTTAGAATTTTACCCTGATCAAGAATATATATACTTTATAGGATTGGAAATGGACATTTCGATGTGTTACAAACGGAATGACAAAATTAATATCCCCTCCATAATATGGTGGAAGGTATAAAAGGTACTAACCATATGGGCTAAATTGGAATTTTTCAGTCCCCAGAATTTAATTTTCGTGCGTAGAATTATAGTCGTAAACATGTCTATACACAAGCCGCATAAAAATTAAAACAACTCTTTATTTAAATACGCCCTGTCCTGCTGTTTGTAGTCCCATGTCGGCTAATGGTGCATACAAAATTCCCATCTTTATTTGTTGATGTTTACATCGACGATCATTATTTCCACGTTCTCTTGTCTAACATTAAAATACGATTTCAGTAATGTCATTTGCAACAATTTCACTCTTTTAATGTATATTTACAAATGTACTCGAGATGTACATATGTGTGCGTGTGTTATATGGTGCAGATTTTATATGCTCTTGAAAAGAGGAAACAAGATTTACTCATGTCGTTGTTACACTAACATAAAAGTTAAGCCACACAGACATATACATGAGTATGTAAATGTTTTATCCTCGACAACAACAGTAACAACGACAATGACTACGACGACTATTACGTTTTCAAATCAAATACAATGTTTCTGGTATTTGTGTTTTTTACTGTTCGTTCATTTCTTGGTTTTGTTTTCTGTATCAAGTGTTGGTGCTGTGGTTTTTTGAGTTATATATTTTTTTGGTTCACTTCTATATATGTGTGTGTGTTTAAGTTCCTTTTATATACCGCGTATTTTTTTTTCAATTTCTTCAAATATTTTTGTTCCGTTTTCCACCGGCCTCTTCTACACGACAACAATATGTGTATATGTTTGGGGTTTTTTTTACACTTCACTATATTGTTTTTCGTTTTTTCTCCCTCCAATAGGGGCATTCCGCTTATACGATGTGGACAATGATGGCTATATAACGCGAGAGGAAATGTACAACATTGTGGATGCGATTTATCAAATGGTGGTATGTAAAGTTGTTTTTAGTTCATGTGTTTTTTCCTCACTCTCTCATCTACTTTGTTTTACTTTGATGCTGAAATGAAAACCAAGTGCAATATAACCTTAATAAAAAATTGTTTTAATGGTTAGACACAGAAAAAAAAATGAAAAAGAAAACAAAAACAGAACGCAAACAAAACAAATCCGCTTGGCCACTTGAGTGACTCTAGAAACAATTCATGTCATTTATATTGTAGTTTGTGTGAAATTTTCAAAAAATAAATGTCAAGTGTTAAATAAATACGAAGATAAATGTGTTTAGAATATTAAATGAATTGAATTTTTGTACACAAAGAAAAATAAAAACCAAAAGAAATGGTATCTTGGGTGAAAAATTAAATTTTAATCAACTTCGTGATAAACGTGAATTTGCGCCCAAGTTAAATTATATTACAATTTATCCTGATTTTGATATAAATTGAATTATAGAATTAAATTAAATTATAAAATCAATAACACGATATGATTTTCCAATAAGAGGTGTTATTCAAAAATATGTTGTTTAGTTAAATAATCGTATGTAGAGTGGCGTAAGGGATGATTGATACCAAGCAACGGCTCTGATTGTCTCCAGATGCTCCGACAGAAGACAAAGATGAGCAGACCAAAGACATATTTTACTAGCGCCTTGAAACAGCATATGACCGCTGCCCTGGCCATGACATTAAAATTCTGCTAAGAGATTTTAATGCAAAAATCGGAAGGGAAAATATCTTTGGCCCCATCGTCCTAAATTGCAGCCTTCATGAAGAAACCTCCGACAACGGCATGAGGTTGATGACTTCGCGGCAGCAAAAAACATGTTAGTTAGCAGCACAAGATTCAAGCATCTCGATATACACAAGGCCACCTGGATTTCTCCTGATCCAGCAACGAGAAATCAAATTGATCATGTTGTGATGTGCCTTCCGTATTCATCCAGTGTATTAGACGTTCGATCGATCTGAGGAGCGAATATCGATTCGGACCACTACCTTCTAGAAGCCAATGTTCACACTCGTCTTAAGTTTGCAGCAAAGTGCGATCTAACACAACACTGAAACTCGACATCGAAAAGCTGCAAACACAACAGATAGCCGAGGCCTACTTTGCTCAACTTACCCACTTGGTTGACGAAAGCACTCCTTGTCCCGATAATAATATAGAAGCACAATGGCAAAGAATTGCCCACTTCCTTCAAACTGCAAAAACCACCACCAAGAAACCCATGGAACGATCAGGAGTGTAGTAATGCTATTGATATGAAAAACGCAGCGTATAGGGCAACCCTGCAGACAGTAGCAACACGTAATATGATGGAGAATTATCGGGAGGAAAGGAGATAGGAGAAACGCGTTTTAAGAAAAAAGAAGAAAGAACAAAGAAAAACGTGAGCGTGAGCTAATCGAGATATAAAGGTGTGAGAATGAAGTGCGGAAATTGTACCAACGAGTAAAGCACCAAACCGAAGGTTTCGGTGCAGGCACATCCTCCTGTAGAGATGAAGAAGGAAACCTGGTGGCAGATATAGACAGCGATATTATCAAAATATCGAGTATACCAAGATGAAATCAAAATAGAAATCAATCGGCTGAAGAGCATGATTCAACTTATTAGTGCAATTTGGCTAGAGGAATGCTTGCCCAATGATTGGAACCTCAGCCTCCTGTGTCCCGTACACAAAAAAAGAGACTAGACGATATGTGCCAACTATAGAGGAATTAGTCTCCTTCTCATCGCATATAAAGTGCTCTGTGAACGACTGAAGGCAATTGTCAATGACATTATTATATGCAGCTTCAGACCTGGCAAATCCACCATTGACCACATTTTCTCTAGAAAAGACCCACGAAAAACACATCGACACATTCCACCTATTTGTCGACTAAAAAGCCGCCGCCCTGTCCATTCAGACATGTTTAAAGCCATGTCTGCGTTCGGTATTCCTGCTAAATTTACACGGCTATGCAGACTAACTTTAACTGGCACAAGGTCAGCAGTTAAAGTCGGAAATGACCTATCGGCGTCTTTTAATAACGAATGAGGATACAAACAAGTCGATAGTTTGTAGTGTGACCTTTTTAACATCCTACTGGAAAAAGTCATACAAGACGCAAACGTGAACAGAAATGGTACTCTGTGCACAAAACAACACATGGGTTATTGGGTCGAACATTGCGAGCGGCAATACCCACCTCTCAACAAATTGAGAAGGAGTCTGCCAATGTGGGTCTGGCAGTAAATGGCGAGAAGACCAAGCTGATGGTATCTACACGCAAGATATCCAGTAGACTCGGACCAACTGTGCAACTTGAGAACTTCAGTTTCGAGGTAGTTAAAAATTGTATATAGCTTAGAACCTCCATAAATAAAACTAAATAAACTAAATAGACAAGACGCTGATACTACCCATGCTGTTATATGGATCTGAAACATGGGTACTTTCGCAAGCAGATGAGGCAGATCTTGGAGTGTTTGAGAGAAATTAGAGTGACGAAAGTGCTTTGGAAATTGGTTTAAAAAGGGTACATCATGCTGGAGAATTACAAAGAATAAAATACGCTGTGTGACAAAGTGAATTCTCAACATTTATCGACTGAAAGTAGAAAAGGACGAGGAAAACATATAAATAACCTGTTCTTGTTTTTGAGCATCATATCTGAAAGGAAAAAAATACTTTTTACTCTTCAAGAAATTCAACAAATTCCCTATATAAATTGAGTATAATATTTACTAGGACTAGAAATAAAAAAACTATCACGCCATAGCTCAAAAACTTTAACTACTGCCAATTTTTGCCATTTGGGTTTTTAATATACACACCAAGGGCTTCCAATCGTAAAGGGACTTTTCCACCCCCTAAATCTTGTTGGACAGTTGAATAAAATCATGAATGGGTCAAGAGATATGTAGAGACATACTCCTAACGGTTGGACTGCAGCAGATCTATTCTCAGTTGAACAAGGCGTAGGGGATTTTTTCTGTACAGAAATCGGTGAAACAATTATTGCCCCCAATTTCGGTATTGATGTCCGACGATCCAAAATGTTTTGGTTTTGTGAGGATTTAAAACCTTGTTGAGCAGGTTTTACTTGTCAAATGTCAGATAATGTTGCAGCTTCCAAATAAAATACCAACTCTTATTGGAAAACCATATACAAACTATTATATTTCTCTGAGTGTACATAATTATTGAATTATTTATAGTTATTCATTAATTAATTATTAAATGTCTACAATATTTCATTGTTTATTTTTTCCCCCATTACGCAACCAAAAAAAGGGACAACAACCGCAAGCGGAGGATGAGAATACACCACAAAAACGGGTAGATAAAATATTTGATCAAATGGATAAAAATCATGATGGAAAATTAACACTGGAAGAATTTCGTGAGGGTAGTAAAGCTGATCCACGTATAGTTCAGGCGTTAAGTTTAGGTGGTGGTTAAATCCTTTTTTCTAATATTAGATACAAAAGGGTTTATATTAGACAAAGAACAAAACAAAAACATAAAAAGCAATTCCTAACTTGGTTCATTACTTTCAAAGCTTTAAAGCTGTTTGTTATTTTTAATTTAATAATAGTTAAACTTAAAACAAATATTTACTTCTTAAAGGATAGGAGGAAGGATATTACGTTTTCGGCATTATTTTTCTCTTTTCATTATAACTAAGTTTATATATTTTTCGGAAAACTACAATCTTAAGATAAAATTCTTACAAAAAATCACATTTTTTCTAAAGCCAAGAGCATTCGCAAAGATACTCTCAATGAAATAAAATAGAAACAAAAACATATATTTATAGATACGACAAACAATAAAGAAATCAAGTTCATAGCAATTAAAGAAAATGAAAAGGGAAAAATTTTCCACATAAAATTTAATTATAAACAAAAAACTAAAGTTTAACATTGTCAATACACCAATTAATTGTGACAAAACATAATTATTAATTATTATTAAATAAAAATCGAAAAAAAAACAAATGAAATCAATAAATTATTTACCTAAATATAACAAACAAGCCTTTGATATTTGGTGGAGTGGACAAAACGAAAACCAAATTACCCAAAAAAAAAAAAAAAAATAAATTTTTGGGAAAACGAATATAAAAACCACCATTTGTTTTTTTATAACATATAAAAAATAAATCATATTAAATATAATTAGAAAGGAAAACCTACAAAACAACAAATCTCCCATTGTGGAATAACATTAATTATAAAAAAAGAAAGAAAATAACACGTTTTTTGATAATAGCTTTTAGCCTTATTGTTATTAGCATTTTAGCCCAATCATCATAAAATAAGAAATGGTGATAATGACGAAAAACCAAAAACAACTCCCAAATGTTTTTAAATCAACAACAAAACAGAAATTCTTAGAATCCCCCAAAATTGTTTTAATTGTTAGGAAAAATATGAAATTATCTAACTTCAATTTTTAAATAGTTATCTTCTCCCCCTCCTCAAAAAATAATATATATCTTTTGCAGATTATATATCTGTTATGGTTAACTTAATCAGTTTGATAATATTTCTCTCCAATTTATATAATCCATCATACTGATTTAATTTCTATTCTATATGCGGTTCAGCTTTATTATTTTTCTTGCACAAAAGATGAAAAACAAATGAAAAATAATAACACAAATATTTATAATTAAATAAATATTTAACAAAATAGTTATTTTATTACCTTTACATATATATTTACTATTATTATATATATTTACTTATTTATTTATTATATATTATATTAACTTTAAACTACTTCCAAATACTCTTGAATATTTAATAATAAAATTAATTTTGTAAATATTAAATAAAAACATGAAATGGAAAATTTTATTTATTATTTTTCAAATTAATATTTATTACAGGATGATGCTCCCAAAAAAAAACTAATTATTAATCTAAATTTATTTACGCATAATTAATATTCTTTTTATATACAGTTTTGAAACATTTGAATTTTTTCGAATTAGTTATCTTGGTTTATATAAGCGGGTCGTTGTCGAAACTATTTAAGATGTATTGGCATAATTTTCCACAAATACTGATACGTAATATCACGTGAATATGAATGATATTGAAGTGTGTTGTTGATTTTTTTTTCTTGATGTACACATATAAGTCGAGATGTTGTCTTCTACTTGATCTTTCCATCGGATGCGTGGCCTTCACCTTCTGCGTGAACCATCACTGGGCTCGCTTTTATATGCCTTTTGACCCACTCTCAAAACATGACATACCCAACGTAGTTGCTGCAGCTCGATCCGTCCATGTCGATGTCCCAGAATAAATGGTACAGCTCATGGTTCATTCGACGACGATATTCACCGTCGGCGCATATATCTTCTGGGATATTTTTTTCTCAAACACTTTAAGAGCTGCTTCATCTTCTCCTAGAATATTTAGTATTGAAAAACGATCGGTGGACGTTTTGTGTATAGACCCCCAGACAAAGGAACCCTCAATATTCATTATTGGTAGGGTTATATGCACGTTTTCAACGGATTTGTCGTGGTATTTTGTGGTTGAAGGTCACGTTTTTCAAACAAATTGGTGGTAATTTAATATTTTGGACTCTAACAAGAAATAACTCCCAATTTTTTTTTTTGGGGTGTTGGCTTGGATTTCAGATATAATTGTCAATCGCCAAATGACGTTTTCGATATGTATAAGACCCCAGTACAATTTTCCAAGGTGCAGTGTATATTAAATTTGTTAATCCTTTTGATAAACTTCGAAAGATTCGTCAGAGACCCAATTAAGGATGTATATTTTTGATCGCAAAACAATTGTATATGGATATAGTGAAGTTCCTCCATATATCTGTTGAAATCACGATAGAGATAAAGACAGAGCTTTAAATTTTAACACTGATGTCGCTAGTTCTCCTAGAATATCTATTATTGCAAATGGTATAAATCGATTCAGGTTTTAGTGTATCATAGCTATAACCAATGATCGGAGCAGTATAGTCGGACGTGTCCGACCTTATGATACCTTACACAACTTCTACTGAGTTCTAAGTTTCTGTGGATCTATATTCCGAGGTAATATTTCGTGATACTCTTGAACGATTAGAGGTCAACTGAGGAATATTTTCCGGAGTAAAAAATACTACTATAATACACTATTAAAATTTCTGTAATTTTACACATTTGTAAGTGTGGCCCCTTGCCTTCCACATGAAAAAGTTATTATGTTCGGCTGCTAATTGTGGCGTTTAGAGCGACTAGAAAGACAGACAAAAATAAACTTGTCGGTCCATTTCATCCCGGAAATATAATTTGATCATCATAGAAAATTATTGGCGTCGTCCTTGACCACAACGGTAAACTCATACTTTCTTCGCCATTAGCGCTACTATTCCGCCATCAAATGTGGCAATGGTAATACCACACAATCTCAGAATAAGTATGCACCCGTAAATACTTACGTACAGATCTTCCATCCGAAAACAGACATCGATATAATTGGTATCAATTTAAAGATCAAACACACCTCTTGTATACACTATACATTTTTCGGGTCTATGTCCTTCAGGAGTAAAAATATACATCACAGGATACAAAATTTGTAATTTTTCACACAAAAGTATATATTTGATCCGATAAATATAGACCCGAGAAGTTGATAAAATATTCATTCAAATTTTCGTGGTGACATTTACATTAATACCAATTATATTGTCGTAAAACAATCAAAACAAAATTAAATATTTAAAGGTGCTTACATTCATATATAATATTAATTTATTAACCAATTAGCTAAATAGAGGGCGAAATATATTTGTCTGAACTCGCTTTCGAAAAGAACAACGTCCATAATTTGGCCAGTGATGATCAGATAAAATTATAATGGATAAAGTGGATCGAACATATTTTGTGTTTTTTCTACATTTATAGGCTAATTGAATACCCTGACAACAATTTTTAGAGTATGTCATGAACGTTTTTCAATCAGATAAATTTTTTTGGTTTCTCCTTGGGTGGTAAAATAACATAGCCTTCTTAAAGCGGTATTGCCCAATTTTCCATATTTTAAAGATGTTTTTCTGGTCTTAAACCCGAATTGGCTTTATATTTATATTTTGGGATATACCCATTTTATTTGACATTCCGCATCGTTGACGAATATTCATCTATTGGATATATTTTAAATATTGGTGCATATGTTTATTCCACGGTATGTTAAAGGTCCTTAGCCGAACCTTTTTTGTAATACTACTTACACATTGTTTCTGTAATACTTCAACCGAAATTTCTGGCTACGAAAATGTATAATGTATTAGGCATTGGGTCTAAAGTAAAGACTTTTGTACGCCGTTAAATATAGAAGGCAATGGTTTATGTATTAATATTGTACCGAATAGTTAGTCTTCTAGTGTTCGTTTTTTCTCGAATTCTTTCTAAGACTTCAGGATAACCAATTGCGGAACGTTCGTCGCAAAACCAGGTTAGGTGAAGAAACAGGCTGTCATTCGAAGTAATACCACAACCGAAACTTCTGGATACGAATATCGTTTATAAGGTATTAAGCATTGGGTCTAAAGTAAGGGCTGCAAGAAGTCAATGGTTTAAGTGGATAAGTCGGAGCTCGCATTAACATTGTGTAGAAGTATTCTTCCAAATTTAGTACTATTTAGTACACATTTGAATTCTTTCAAAGTATTCAGGAAAACAAATTGTGGATCACCCATCGAAGTAGTTTTTGCAGTACAACTTTCGTTGGATTTGGTTATTTACGGTTTGCCATTCTCCAGGCAAATGTTTTTTGAAGCATTTCTTAACACAACTCCTGACCATGCATCATAATAACGAGTTCGAATTATTCCAATACTGAATTATAATGGATGTCAGCACACTTTCTTGTTTGCTCAAAGTTTTGTTATTAAAGGGTAGGGGAGAGGGGGGCACCTTTGAACGTGGGGCACCTTTGAACAGCGCTCATAAAATCTTGGTTTAATATTTTGCCGACTCGCAACCACATTTTTGTATATGGCAATCTTGTTCTCTATATGCGTAAACCACTTTGGCTTGCTTTTTCAGTTGTCGAAAAATTGTGCATGGGTGACCATGTTTTCTCAGTGTCATTGTAAACTTTTATTCATTTGGTTGTAAGGGCGCAGGAAGAATTCTGTGATAGTTTTCTTTCGTCAAACAAATTTTTTGCATTCCAACAATCATTTCAAACATAACTAATGTAATTTCTTTCATATATATTTATTACAAAAAAAGTTATTTTAAATTTCCGTAAAATGCCATGGGTGGGGCACCTTTGAACATGCCCATTAAACTCGAATAAAAAAAGGAGTTTTTAACTTTTGGCTTCGATTTCTCAAAATTTCAAATGATAAAAATAAGATTACGAAATTAACTGTATTTTTCACCATATTAACTTGTATTTTTAGACATTTTATGTTTTAATAATTTTTGATCT